CACATTGCAGGCGCATGGAGGAGCATGGACCTGGGATTTTCCAGGACAGAGAGCAAAGTAATGGCCCCTGAAAGCTCCACTTGCAAAGGGGAGCTGAGCCCGTGCTCCCAGCCAGGTCCTGCAGCCCCGGTGCCCCTCACTGCTCCCCCCAACCAGCTCAGCAGTGGGCCGCTCCTGTTGCTACCTTCAGGACCAAACACTGAACATTCTAGGCCAGTACTCAGTGGCTGAAGAGACTGCTCAGGCAGCCTTGAGCCATGGAGTGGCCAGCGATCATGGGGTTCTTGACCCTTCTCTTCGTTTCATGGAAGACTTTTCACTCCATCAGAAGCTGGTTTATAGTACAGAGAAAGAAACGCCTTGCTCCCCGCCTCGCAGGATACATTAAGGAAAAACATCAACTCTTGGAAAAAGTCGGCCAGCTTCAAAAGGAGAATGAAGCCTTGGAGGCAGCGCTCAGTGAGGCCCGCATCCTTGAGAGAGAGGGAGCCAGGCAAGCCCAGTGTTAGAAGCCAGCCTACAAGGACATTGCCAGGTTTCGAGGGCGTATAACCTCCATCCTCACAGAACTCAAAGAAGAGCAATCCAAACGTTTTAGAAAACAGCAACTGAGGATGCCAGAAATGTCTGGCAGGATCTGGTCCCTAACACAAGAATCAAAACTTCTCATGTCTGAAATAGCTGAAATCAAGGTCAGTCATTTAAACTTCAGCAAAGAGAGGCTCCAGAGAGAAGTGAAAGATGCTGTGAGTGAGAAGGTCCAACTCCAGGAAAGCCAGGCACAGCTTCTCCAGGAGGCTCAAAGGTGGAAGGAACAAGTGGGTACACTCACCTCCCAGGAAACCGCGCTGCACAATGCCCGGGCTGGAGCAGGGCAACTGCTTCAGGGGAAAGGACAGCACAGGGAGGCTCTGTCTGGGCGCCTGCTCCTCCCCATGAAAGGTGGGGCTTCTGGGCTCCCAGGGGACCGCACACCACCTGAGGACTCCCAGCAGGAAGTGAGGAGGCAGCCACAAAGTGGTCCTGACTTTGCTGATTGGCCAGAAGGACCCTTGGAGAGGCTGCTCTTTGGCGCTCAGGTCAACACGTCTTTCCAGACCCTGGAAGAGCGAAGAAACCAACTTCACACTCAGCTCTTGGGAGCACAACAAACCAA